ACGGTCTATGGCACCAATGTCGTGGCTGTCGATAGTCATGGAAGATCTAGTCCATCAATCCAGCTTCATCCTAAAGTATGCCCAGGACTCATTGATAGTAATCTGAAGCACTGCGTCAGTGAGTCAGAAGCACACAAAAATCTATATTATCTTATACTTCAACATTCCAAAGTTCAATTGAGTTATAAAACTAATATTGATGAGTCTCAGCAACCCAAATATGCTATGCTATGAAATCCAGGGATCAAGATGTAAGAAAATTTGTGGGTAGAATCTTAGTGCAGAAAATCTTTCCAGAAATGACAGCCAGTTTCACTCAAAGCAATTGGTTAATGCCGATCTCTTAGATACTCTAATACATTATACTTAAGCTTGTGAAATTTAAATATGCAAAATAAGTTATTCTGCCGTTGTATATCACGCAACTTCTATGTTGAAACTTCACTAGAAAACTTGTCTTAGCTTCAATCGAGCTACAATTCCTCAAAAGACCTAAGCAAGTTGAGGACAAAAATCTAATAAAGGTAGGAGCCGGAAATTTTACCATTTCCATTCTAGAACGAAATGAAACCTCAATTCAGCTAAGCCAATTTGTCTATATATATATATATATATATATATATATACGGAACCCTTTAAGGTGCCACTGTCTCATATCGCCCACAAATAGGCCCTGAACGATTTCAAGACATAAGAAGTTTGTTCGATCAGCAAACGGGTCACGAAAATTGCTAAAAATATGAATATTAGAGTGGCTTTCAGTTCGTTTGAAGAGGAAAGTCGAAGGGATCGTGAGTTGGTCTCATCGGAAGTCTAAAAGGTGTTCTCTTGTAGCTGACTGTAGCTTTGTGCGAATAGGTCCTCAGGTCACCGCTCCGCGACCCCGATTAATCCCTGTCATGCGATGAACATCGTCAGAGTAGGGCATCATGCTTTACGATAATTCACCAAGCACAACCACAGAGCTAGAGTTGGAGCTCCAAGGCAACCCCTCTTCGACTCCTAGTTAGTTAACTTTTGAATCCCTACAAGTCGCCTCTTTAAACGAAAGGAAAGGTAAGATATGAAGACCAAGATGTTGTGACCTCTAGTATGATCGCAGTCTCCTTTCGATTTATAGAAGTGGGTTGACCTCGTTGTCGCAATTTGGTCTTGTTGTCAGGGTGACTTAGTAGAACGTGATGAGGCCACACTAGATTAGTCACAAAAAGGCACACATTTTGACAAGAGGAATGTAAACAAGTCAGAAGTTGTGATAGGGCGCAGTGGGATAAGAAAGTAAAGAGTAGATAGGTAGGCCATGACAGAGAGAGGAATGTTAGTGTAAATGTTTTCAGCAGAACGTTTGTCGAGGGATTGACTTCACTTGTCT